GTTTACCTGCATTATTCAATTTTCTATGGTACATACTGTTACATGCTGTGGGGTTCCCTTCAAATTATATTTTTATAGTCTAAATTAATTTCTGATTCTGTCTGTATTAACACGGGGATGCAACTTGCTCCAGTTTGTTCAGCTTTGACTTAAACATTGACCACATGAGCAATTGCAGACAGCAGCTGATATATTGCAGACATATTGGCTATACCTGCTGCTAGGTGTGGGCTTTTAATTCATTCCCCTAAATCCACCGTAGCATTCAGTTAGTCACCATGGGGTTCATCTCTGTAAGTGGCTTGGAGGAGGGAGGATTGGAGAACAGAATTTTGCGGACTGTTCACGACGAAACGGATTTGGTTATTTGCTTCCCATCCTTTGTTTCATCGACTTGCCACAACTTCAAGCTGAAGGATGGCATTCTGCTCAGGGATCCCCATTCCAACCCTAGGTACCGACGAGCTGCCGAGTGTCTGGCTCCAATCACCCCGCGTGAGCAGAAGGCTAAGAAATATAACCTCTGAAGGGTGCCCACTCACAGGAGAGAAGACTGGAAGACGATAAGGTAATAATTTCTGCAGATAAAAGGTAGATGACAAGGTGAAAGAATTTAGCTGCCATTTATACCTGCTGAAGAGAAGAGAAGTCATGGGCTGAAAGTTCTTCAAGGGAGACTTAGTTATGGGGAAAAATTTTTAATCACGTGGCTACTGATGTACAGGAGTTGCTGAATTTTGTGGAGCCTCGCTGATTTCCCAAGGATTCGGGTAGATTCTCGGAGTTGAGTGTCACAGGTTCAATTCTCACAGGCCCGGCCAAAGCTCCCTTTTAACCCAGTTCAAAACGATTGCTTCTGACTGCAAACAGAAATGCGTTGTTTAACGAAAATGCAGAGTGCCTTGAGTTGTTGATGCTTGAAAACAACATCGTGTTTATGAGAACAACTAAGACACTTCCATCAAAAAATGCATATTCTGAAGTTGCTATTAGCCCTGAGGTGTTTGTCTCAGATAACATACTATTAATATTATAACGATAAAACACTTTGCATGCATAAACTAGTAATGAATATTGTTGAAATGTTTTGGCATTCCCAGTTGTGTGGAAACATCACCTCACCGGTCTCTAATTGTCAGGATTATTTCCTCCATCCTTTCACAAAATACAATGAAAAGTTCACACAAAATTATCCAAAAAAGCCAGGCTCCAAATTCATAGCTCCGGACAGAGGCTAACCCCACTGAGCTTTGTTGCTAGAGGTTGCTGGCAATTTATGTTAAAAATTGTATTTCATATTCTTTGACAAATTCAGGTAGCTTATGGATCTCTTGGTGACTTCTGAACCAGTTTCTGACCATACCCTTCTTCCTCAAAAGTGAGAAAAGTGTCTGGAAAAATGGAGATTCCTGTTTCTATGCTACTTTACCTGCAGAGCATCCAAATACCCCAAACTGAAAACTCATTTACACCTCCCAGTCTTCCTTGTAGGAAGAAAAGACAAGGTTGCCATTTAACTTCTAGAAGTTTCTTAATTTTCTTCATCAGTGACAAAGACAATGGGATAGAGTGCACTCTCAGCAAGTTTGCAGATGACCCCAAGCTGAGTGGTGCGGGTGATACGCCTGAGGGACGGGATGCCATCCAGAGGGACCTGGACAAGCTTGAGGGATGGACCCCTGTGAACCTCATGAGGTTCAACAAGGCCAAGTACAGGGTCCTGCACCTGGGTCAGGGCAACCCCCGGTATCAGCACAGGCTGGGGGATGGAGGGATGGAGAGCAGCCCTGCCGAGAAGGACTTGGGGTAATGGGGGATGAAAAGCTGGACGTGATCCAGCAACGTGCACTCCCAGCCCAGAAAACCAACCGTATCCTGGGCTGCCCTCAAAGCCGCGTGGCCAGCAGGTCGAGGGAAGGGGTTCTGCCCCTCTGCCCCGCTCTGGGGAGACCCCCCTGCAGTGCTGCGTCCAGCTCTGGAGCCCTCGGCACAGGAGAGACATGGACCTGCTGGAGCGGGGCCAGAGGAGGCCCCCGCGATGCTCGGAGGGCTGGAACAGCTCTGCTGGGAGGACATGCTGGGAGAGCTGGGGGGGCTTAGCCTGGAGCAGAGAAGGCTCCGGGGAGACCTTCTTGCAGCCGGGCAGGACTTAAAGGGGGCCTACAGGAAAGGTGAGGATGGACTTTTTAGCAGGGCCTGTTGCCATAGGGCAAGGGGTGATGGTTTTAAACTAAACAAGGGGAAATTCAGACCAGATATAAGGAAGAAATTTTTGACAATGAGGGTGGTGAAACGCTGGCCCAGGTTGCCCAGAGAGGTGGTAGATGCCCCGTCCCTGGAAACATTCGGTTGGACGGGGCTCTGAGCAACCTGGTCTAGTTGAAGATGTCCCTGCTCATGTCAGGGGGGTTGGACTAGATGGCCTTGAAAGGTCCCTTCCCACCCAAACTATTCTATGACTCTGTGAAGTTATGATGCCTTCTGCAGAAAAACACCTTTGGAAATGGGAGTAGAAACACAACCCTAAACATCTTATGCCTCTTAATAACACAGGCAATGTGGAGTTTGTCCAGCTGGGGGGTCCTGCACTGAGACTGCTTTGGACAGTGTTTGCATGGAAAGGCTGTGCAATATAAGCCCGAAGGAGGAAAAGCTGCTTTTTACTCCACCCTGTCACTGTCCACCTCGGAGGGGAGCCTGTCTCTTTGCTCTAAACTCTCATTTGGTGGGTGCAGGTAGTAATAAACTGTCCCTTCAGCGTTTTCTTCTCCAGGGCAAACAGTTCTCCCAGCCTCTCTCTTCTTGCACCAGTGCCCTGACCGCCCTGCAGCCTCCATCAGACCCGCTCCTGGCTGCCCACGGCTCTTGTGCTGAGCACCCAAAACCGGGCAGGGAGGTCTGGATGTGGCCTCCTGAACACCAGCTGGAGGCGAATCAACACTTTTCTCCTGCTGCTGGCTACGCTCTGGCTCAGGCAGCCCAGCCTGCGGTTGGCTTTCACCGCCACTCGGCTGCAGCACTGCCTCACGACAACTTTTGGGCCACCAGGTCCTTTTTTTTGCAGCGCTCCTGACCTCTCCAGGAGCAGATCCCACCTACTAATCCATCTGATGAGGGAGAGCAGGGTCTGCTGCCAAGCAGGTAGCTGGAGGAGAGAGGGAACAAGAGTTCCCAATAAAAACCACCCTCACTCAGAGAGCCAGTAAAATTCAGGCACCTTTTAGCGGTTGCTTTGAGATACCAGGTTTTTATATTACCATGTCAGCGTAACCGCTTTATCAGGAGGACAACCACAGAAACAGAAGCTCAGATTTTTAAAAGGAAAGCCTTTTCTTGCTGATCAATGCCATCTTCCTCATGTTAACTGAAGGGGAGTCTGGATCCTTTTGGGACCAAGAGCGACTGAGCTCAGCAGAACCTTTTAAACCATACAAGTGGGATGAAGGCAGGTGGGAGAGCTTCCCCTAGGCCTGGGCTGTGCCACCCCCGTCCCTTTACTGTGAACCCCCAACTCCCTCTAATGGCTGCAGACCTCCGGGACTCACCGCCGGCCCTGAGCATGGGTGAGCAAGGGTGGAGAGGAGCCCGATTTTTAATAGACCTGGTGTAAGAAAGGGATTGATCCCATGCAAGGTAGTCAGGAGGGAGCTACTTGCTCAGGTCTTTCCTCTCCCTCCCTCATTTAATTGCCCAGGCTGGTGATTTACCAGAAGTTAAAATGAATTCTCTCTCCCCCTGGGGAGCAAGACTCCTCCTAATCCTGGAGGACTGCTGGTAGCATCACTCTGTTTTTCCAGGCAAGTCTACCACTTTATTCGAAAAAGGAGTGTATAGAAATCCTGCTTGGTCTGGTCGGGGCACTTGCAGAGGAAGCCAAGGAGACAGGAGGCAGCTTTCCTGCTGGGATTTGCCCAGGGAGCTGACAAAGCAAAGCAGCGATGGGAGGAGCTGCCGGCTCTCCGGCTGCACCTTCAGACGGTGGCAGAGAGCTTGTGCTTCCCTGGTGCTGCACCAGGACCACCTCCAGGCGTGCAAAGACATGTGCGTTGGGACTTCGCTGCTTACGTATATATGTATATATACTAGGAAATCAAAATATTGACTGAGCACCGTAACTATTTCCTGCTGCCTATGAAAATGTAGTTGTCAAGGGACAGCTGGAATTTAAAGTTAGTTTTCCCTCTGGTTGCGATTTTATAACCACAGAGTATTGATGCTGCTCACCCATCCGATGCAAACGAGGCCAGCTCAGGGTCGCAGCGTCGGGAAGCTTGCCCTGGTCCCAGGGTGCAGGACCGAAGGCTGTCCTGTGTGACACACGTGCACACGGGGTGTGCTCCCCTGCGACGCTGGCGCGACCGAGCTAAGCCTGGGCAGACAGTAAACGCCTGTCTGAGGGCGGCTAATGAGTCTCATTACTTTAGTCAAGCCTTCTTCTAAATACCACCCTGCACTGCTGCTTTTACTAAGTCCCTCAGTAACTTTTCAACACCCACAGATGGTAAATCTAGTCTTTACAAGCGTGATTACTGCCTTTTTTTTACACAAAGGAGCGGTATAACAACAGGGAATAGTTTTTTCCAGTAGTAGGTGTTAGAAACAGTTTTTAAAAAAAGGAAAATAAATCAGACAGAGAGCAGGACTCCAGCTGCAACCTGAGTTTAATACGACTGGTACAACCGGGGAATACAATTGATCCAGTAACAGTAAAAACCTCTTGGGGTGTGAATGCTGCAAGAGAGTTTTATTGGTTTGAAGTTCAGTCTGAGCACCTGCTCAGAGTTACTTAACTTCTCACTTACAGCTTTTCTGTTGCAGGAATAACTGAAGTGTGGTCAAAAGAGAAAGGCAATGCGCTCTATGAGTTTAATATGGATACAATAAGGGGTATAATAAGGCCAAAGCTTCTCTTGGGGCTAGGAACGGGAACAGGAGGAGAAAAATAACCTCAGACCTCAACTACGTAGCTTGCTATATTCACAACTGCTTCTTTATCTCCTTTAGCACAGCCATTTTGAAGCACAGCGACTCTTCTTGGAGTGGCTCGAACGTTTCACCACGTGATGGTGCGTCGAGTGCTGGGTGGCCCGTGGGTAGAGGCACTTGGACTTGCTTAGGTGCTGTGTCGATGAGCTCTTGTGCTTGGCTCCCTCCTGCGGCAGCAAGCATTTGGCTGCACGTGGCTGCGAGGAGCACTCCTTTATTGCCTGCCCGGGGGGGCACTTGGGCACGCGTGGCTGCGGCAGGCACTTGGTTGCACACTGCTGCGAGGAGTAGGTGGTGATGCACTCCTGCGTCGGGTAACCCTTCATGCACCTCTGCGGGGGGAACCCGCTCACGTACTCCTGCAGGAAAGACTGCGTTACGCACTGCTGCGGGGGGCACTCGGTGACCCCGCGCAGCGGCGGGGAATAGCTGCTGGTCATCCCCTGCAGGGACCGGAGCTCCGTGCCGTACCGCTGCGAGGAGCATTTGGATATCTTCTGTGTCCTGCATTCGTCCTTGCACGAGGACGAGTACTTGATCCCACATGGTGGGTACTTGAGTTTGCCTGGCTCCGGGCACCTGGGTGCGCATGGTGGGAGGCTCTTGGCCATGCGCTTTTTCTCAGGGTGGCTGGTCTCACAGGGCTGGAAACTCTGCGTTGTGCTCAGCTTCAGGCTGGGCTTCCTGCAGGGCAGAAGGCGAGTGGTCTCACAAGGCTCAGGGTACAGCAGGACATACTGCTGGACATAGGGCTGACAAGACAGCAGAGGTGTCTGGGTCACACTTGGCTGTGGGCACACGTAAGTGAAAGGTTGCGTGTAGCTTTGCCATCTCGGCATCGGGCTCTTGATCACGCTCACTGGGTGGCATGTGTTACTGCACGCATCGGACTTGGGTGTGCACTGCTGGATGCTTTCAGCGATATAGCCCGATCCCGGCAGGTACAGGTGTTTATACCGCTCCCCATAATAGTGCATGGTCACGCAAGGCGCTTACACCTGAAAGAAGCAGGAAAAAGACAGACAGTTCACACAGGCATCGGCTGGTTTTGTGATGCAGGACTGGGAGTTTCCCCGCAGGGGTCTCAAGCCCACATCCTAGCTCTCCTGGAGGTCAGAGGCTCTCAGTGGCTCACGACCTGCCCGTGATTACCCAGGTGAGGAGAGGAGAGTCTGTTCTCAGCTCATGCCCCCACACCCTTCTCAAGAGCCCAGAAATAATCAGGGATTGGAGCCAGGCAAACCGGAGAGTTTTCATGCCACCCTTCAGAGACCAGCTAAGTGTCCATCAAAGCATGTCACCAAGGAGAAGTGACATTATGATCCTCTGTCTTACTTCCTGGAAACCTCCTGTGTCCCCGCTGGGATGTCCTTTCAAGTTTATGTATGTCCTGCAACTCCCAAGCACCAGAGATGAAAGGCAAGCCAAAATTAAAGGTGTGTCCATGCTGTAATACTCAGGTGTGGCTGCAGTTCACGTGGGCAAACCGAAGCTGAGGTGAAATTAGCTAGTTGAGGGTAAGGATAGGTTTGTGGCAGCACGGAGCTCAGCACGTACGACCTGCCTGCCTGCCGATCCGTGGTCCCAGAGGGGTCTGCTGGGCTGGCAGCGTGCAGCTACAGGCTCTGAGCTTGCTACCGTAGCATCAGCTTCGCTGCCTCTGCAAGCCTTGCAGTCCCAGTGTCATACTATTTTATAGGCATCTTCAAGAAAAGACAAGAGGAAACACAACAGGATTGTTTCTAAGTATTTGGTGAAACCATAGCAGGAAAGAAGAAGCTATCAAGGCAAAATCTCAGCTGGTGTTAACTGGTCAAGTGTCACTGAGTTGAGAGAATTGCACTCATTTACAGCAGCCGCCAGTCCTGCACTACAGTCCTACAAGCCACAGTGTCCTGTTTTTGTTATGGTAACCTGAAGACCCACTGTCAAAATGCCTGGCATAGCAGCTCTGACAGTGAAACCTCATCCTGGCAGCCGCTGTGCAAGCAGCACGGAGGGGAGTCTCACCGAGACCGCATCCCTGGGGAAGGGACCAAGCGGCACCAGCTGGAGGTCAACACTTCCCTCCCGAAACCACGGTGAAATGTCTCACTTTGCCTTGGCCCTGGGAGTCGTAGGAGAAACTGTCCCACTTCCTTCCCCACACCGGAAAACACCGGTTTCAGGGAGTTTTCTGAGTTTTTAACAGGATTATTTTGAGCACAACAGGTACTGGAACCACTGACATGTGAAAGGTGCTCTGATCAAAAATGTTTTTTTCATTTCAACATTGTTTTTAGATTAAGGCGTATAATTAAATGACAGTAAAACAACTGCATTTTCTGAACAGCCCTAGTTCTGTCTATAATCACACTAAGGCGTTTTATCTTCCAAAAGCCTATTACTGGGTGACTATTAGCAGTAACAATGCTGTGTGTTACTATCATTAGGAAAGCTTTTTATCACTACAATTATAATAATCATCAACTAATAAAAACAACCTGTTGAAAAACAATGATAACAATTGCTACTACTACATGTACAATGTTAAAGTCTCTGGTGATGCTTATCAAGATAAAAAGCTTCTAAAGTAGGGAGAATTAATTGCTTCCAGGGGGTTCTTTGCATCTCAGACTTATTCTTATCATTGTTAGCCTCAACAGAAATTTTAACAGGTTTGGGCTTAGCTAGGGAGTCTCTCTGCTGACTTTCACATTGGCATTGAAGTTGGTCAGCTTCTTACTATTATCTGAAAAGTTCCTTTGTTTAAATTCCATAGAAAGGCGGCAGCAAATTTCTCCACGCCACTTCCTTTAGAGGAGTTGCTTTTTTGCGTGCAAGCTCATATCTGACTCCTGCCAGCATCGAGCCTCCTTCGGACTAGAACTAACAGAAAGCGTAGAAAAGCCCGCAAATCCCATTCCTGACTTCACAGTCCATCTGGAAGCGCTTTCCCAATATTCTTCAGTTTAGCACGGAGGAGATGCTCCAGCTGTTAGAGCCACACATGCCGGTGTTGAAGGCAGCATCCCCCAGAGGATGCTTCGCCGTGAGGACACAGGCAGGACCTCTGCCCACTCCAGCCACCCAGGAATAAAACAGCATTTCAGGAGCTCCATTAAAAGCCAGACTTACCCACTTCATCAGTGAGAACAACCGGAGAGAAGTGCCTAGGAGAGCCCCACGATGGCAGAGCTTTTATACAGTGAATAAGTGCCCTAGGGGAGTGAGGTGGTTTGGCTGGGTGATGCTCTAATTGCTGCCAGTCCTGGCTGAGCCACGTGCGGCTTCGTGCCGGCGGGAATGGCCATCCTCGCTCCGCGGAGCTGCCATCCCCGCCTGGCACTGCCGGGACGTCTGGCTTCCCTGTGAGCCGTGTCAGGAGGGATTGCGCGATCCGACGTGCCGAACCAGCGGTGTCCCTGGCAGGGGACCCGCACGCCCGTGCAGGGGCTGCTCGGGGCGCTCACGCTAGGAATCCCCACGCGTGCTGCCAAAGCATCCCCGCTTGCCCATTGCAAATCCAGGCCAGCTAAAACGCACCTTTCCGCCCAGAAAAAGATTGCAGTTGAGCCCACCCAAGGGACTGCTCAAGGGACAACTAATTTCCATGGGAGCTTCATGCATAAAGTCCCTTCGATGACTTTGAAAACGCCGTCCAGGAAGGACTCTCGGCAACTTTTTGCAGACCATAATTACTGTGGCATGCAGACTTCCTTCACTTACACAGAGAACCCAGGGAAGAGAAGGGTGATTGGGACTAAGAAAGCCTTGGGCTAAGGGCAAGACGGCTACTAAAAAGGACTTGCCACGAAGTGAATAACCTGCTGAAAGAGGTGACGCTTTTCCGGCACAACAAAGGGCAGAAGGGACGAGCAGGGCGCTGGGGCAGCCTGGGGAAGGGCAGCTGAATCAAACCAGGCTCGTGTCCTGAAAACACAAATCACATTTCCTGCTCTGCTGCACGGTCTCTGCACCAGTCATCCCTCCTTTTGTTCCCTGTTTATGCCACGAATAAACCCCAGGGAAAATTAACAGTGGCATGAGCATAAGTGCTGACCAGGAATGCATTTTTACGTAGTCATATCTGCATAAGCCCTGGCTTTTTTTTTTTTCCTTCCCCTTTAATGCAAATCTGACACCTATGAATTAGGTTCCAGCGTGCTGGGAATTCAGGTGAGGTCCCACACATTGAAATAAAAAGAGATGAAACAAGTTAGCTATTAACGGAGTAGGTGGAAAATTTCTCACCAATATCGAGCGCTGGGGACGTCGCTGGCTTGCCATCCCTGGAAGCACCTAAAGGACACGTGGACGTGGTGCTTTGGGAGAAGGTTTATTGGTGGACTTGGCAGTGTTACATTTATGGTTGAACTCGATGATCTTAAGGGTCTTTTCTAACCTAAATGATTCTGTGATTCTATGATTTGAAGCAGAATATTCATCTCTGGCTTTTGAACCACTGAGTAAATTTTCTATTTTTGTTTTCATCAGAAAGTCCAGAAGCCTGAAAGTAGGTTTGTTATTTACGTTTCTGATTTTCCAACAAAAAAATCTCCCTCAGTATCATAGAAAATAATACAGACAAAGTGCATGTTTTCCCCGTTGAAGGCCGACATTCCAAGAGATACAAAGGGAAGAATACTTTCTCTAGGCTTATCTTATTTTCCACAACTAAAGACAAAAACACTGAATCCAACCTGGATTTCTCAAACTTTCATTGCGTTTCACTCCTCTGAACTACAACACCCTTTTTAATGTTAAATTATCTGACCAAAGATTTTAGCAATCAAGCAGGCGTCAGAGACCAGGTAAGCAGATTAATACAATTTTTATAAGCTCCATAAATTCAATTCCTGAGCAAGCTCCAGATCAAGTAGCCTTCAAGTAACGCTAATATTCAGCTTAGTGTTTCCAGTGCAGGTAACAAAATATTAACCCGATGATAACATCGTGCCTTGTCATCCAAACGTTCTTAATTAGCATCTGTAAAGCCCTTTCATCTGAGAGAGACGCACAATGCCGCATGGGACATTGTTGAGGGGGCTATTATTATTCCCAATTAAGCACAGGGGAAACCGAGGCACATTGCACCGCGGTCACTTGGTGGTGCAGCATGAGTCAGAGCCAGGGTCAGAACCAGACTCTGTCACTACCACCTCCAAAACGAGCCCTGTGCGCTGGTGGCCACTCCACCCCTGTGAGATGAGGTCCTGCCACCCAGCTACCCAGCACCCAGGAAGTCTTCCCTACCGATCTCCTGGGCTCTGGTTCCTATGGGAAAGCCACAATGATGTGACAGCTCCTCAGAAGGCCACACCGTTGCTCGTGTCTTGGCTTTAAAGGGTACACAAAACGTTCGGTTGTGAGAGCATCCCTGGCTCTGCAAGGTCACTCCTGCTCTTGCATACTGCCTCTCCGGGCCAAAGCATCATCACTGGACATTCAGGAGAAGGTGTGAAGGTGAAGGTCTGCTCCCCCATGACCCACTGAGCACCCCGGGGAAGCAGCCAGGTGCCACCTCGACATGGCTAGATGCTCAGGTCTTGGACACCTTGCCTTCAGAGGGCAGCCCATGGTGGCACCCCAAGGTCACCGAGCAAGGGTGGAGCAGGGCAGGATGCAGGGCAGCGTCCCAGCCCGGGTCACACCTTCCTCTTCATCTTGCGACACTTGTTTTTGCCCTCCAAATACGCATGATCTACTTAGCACGAGCTACTACTCGTTTTCCTAATGATAGGGCATATTACAGGATTTTTGTATTTTTCAGACAGGAGTTCACTATATTTAATAAAGAAAAACCACCAGAGGACAAAACGACAAGATATTTAATCTGAGGTCAGACAAGTATATTTATTTAGGTATATATATGTATAATACAAGTATACATATATATAGTTTGTTTTCAGTACAGTGTAGAATATACATCTTCAGTCAGCATAAAGAATACAGTTAATTGCTTTTATAGTGCAAACATTCATAAAATAGTCGTGCTACAACTTTCAGTGTTATTTCAAAGACATTTGTTTGTTTCAGGTTGTGTTTTCAATATTAATTAAAGCAACCAAGTGAATAAAAAATTCCACGTATAAAATTTCAGCAAGGACCAACTTCACCGAGCCAGAAATCCTGTCTTGTTTGGGGACTCTACTGAAGTCAGCGTAGAGTCAGCAGTTTAAAGCAGCAGGGATTTCTGGTCACCTTCTGAAATGAAGGCCGTTGGGAATAAGATTGGTATACACTTTGCTTAGCAAATTTACATTTGGCTTCCAAATCTGTGAATGAAAACAGCTGTTTTGTAGAACTCGCAGCCTCGTGGAATCCAGGTTAACCTGAACATTGTCTCCCAAGGCCAGGACTAAACCCAGAGCCAGGCACGGGCCAGCCCTCCGTTGGCGCTCTGCCAGTCCTCTTGATGCTGTTGTGATCTGGAGTCCTTAGACATTTCTATCTCTTTTTTTCTTTCATTTTAAAAAATTAATTTCAATTAGGCGAGAATATAATAGCATCCCACTAAACTATGCCTTGTAGCAGATTAAGGTACAAGCCACAGGCACCTGGAGTGCAGCCATGGAAATAATATTGCACCCTGGCCCAAAGCAGAGCTGAGCTACAGGGGAAGTACTGGAAAAGAGGGATAAAGCAGACTTAAGCAATAGGAACGAGTCGGCAGGCGGTATGAGGAGATAAATAGCCCCTGCCCCAAAGCTGTACCTCGCTCTTCTTCCGTGGTCCTTCCTCTCTCCCGTTCCTTTTTACCAGGGCCATTTGGATGCAGAGCAGTACTTTTTGGAATGACTTGAAATTTTTACTCCACCCGACTGAGATTGCTGTGGGACACACTTGGTGGCACACTGCTGTGGGACACATTTGGTCACGCACTGTTGTGGGACACCCTTGGTGGCACACTGCTGCTGAGGGACACATTTGGTGGCACACTGCTGTGGGACACACTTGGTCACGCACTGTTGTGGGACACACTTGGTGGCACACTGCTGCTGAGGGACACATTTGGTCACGCACTGCTGTGGGACACACTTGGTCGCACACTGCTGTGGGACACACTTGGTCGCACACTGCTGCTGTGGGACACACTTGGTCGCACACTGCTGTGGGACACACTTGGTCGCACACTGCTGCTGTGGGACACACTTGGTCGCACACTGCTGTGGGACACACTTGGTCGCACACTGCTGCTGTGGGACACAAGTTATCTCGCACGGCTGTGGGACACAAATGGTAGTAGATTTGGTGGCACACAGCTGTGGGACACACTTGGTCGCACACTGCTGCTGTGGGACACAAGTTATCTCGCACGGCTGTGGGACACAAATGGTAGTAGATTTGGTGGCACACAGCTGTGGGACACACTTGGTCGCACACTGCTGCTGTGGGACACACTTGGTGGCACACTGCTGTGGGACACACTTGGTCGCACACTGCTGCTGGCATTCCTGCGGGATGTATGTGGTGGCACACTGTTGCGGGGCACAAGAGGTCACAAAACGGTGCGAGACACACTTGGTTGCACGCTGCTGCGGGACACACGTGGTGACACACCTGGTTGTGCGTTCCTGCGGGGCGTATGTGGTCACACACTGCTGCGGGATGCACTTGGTCGCACACTGCTGCTGTGGGATGCCCTTGGTCAGGTACGGCTGCTGTGGCACACACGTGGTCACACACCTGGTCGCACATGGCTGCTGTGGGATGCACTTGGCCGCACACGGCTGCTGGGGGGCATAGGCGGGCGGACATTGTTGCGGCACACACTTGGTCACACAAGGCTGCTGCGACACGCCTTTGGTCGCACACTGCTGCTGCGGCACGCAAGTTGTCACACACCGAGTTATACACGGCTGCGGTAGGACACGCTGGGTCACACACTGCTGCTGTGGTGCGTACTTGGTTGCATACTGTTGCCGTGGCACACACTTGGTCACACACTGGTGGGAGAAGCTGGAGGACATGACCTGCTGCCGGGGGATGCAGGGGGTCACATGCTGTGGGGTGCACAGTGTTGAGTGCCAGGTAGGCACTGGCAGGGGTCTGGCAGAGTACATCGGTGGGCACCTGATGGAGATGGGCTCCTGGTAGACGGGAGGGAGGCACTGCTGTAGGTAGCACGACATCTCAGTGGGGCTTCGGCAGGACTGGAACGACACGCGAGAAAGCGGAGCCTTTAGAGGGGCACCTAGCTGAGTTTCTTGTGGTCCCGCTGCTGCCCGCACCGCGGGACCAGCTTGCTTCACAGGGTGCTGGAGACACGTCCCGCCACAGCCTCAAAACCACACCAGCAGCAGCCGAGGACCCAACCCATCATTTTTAACTCTGAAACATTACATGAAGTCAAACAGTGGGGAAATTTAGAGACACGTAGCGCTAAACATCTCCCCAGACTGCAACTCTGTCCCCATCACCTGGACCTCCACGGGAGAGAACTGACCTTGGAGGTCAGCAGAGGAACGGCTTATCTCAGAGTTGCCTTTCAATCATTAAATCCAGTTTTCCTCTCCTGCTTTTGGTTGGTGACTGCTTCTGACGCATCAAGGAAAAACCCCAACCCAGAAACAAGCTCTGAACCTCTGGCCACATCTGCCATAGCAGGAGAGGCAAAGAACACCCAAGACATCACTTCTTGGTGACCCCGTCACAGCGTCACAAAGTTTATGCTCATTAGGGAACCGAAGCGATACCACAGCTCAACACAAACCCGCTAACAGCCCTTGTAGCATTATGTGCCCTGATACACCAAAGCTGTTCTGACTGTCGTCAGGCACCCTCAAAAGCAAACAGCAATAGCAGCACCCCAATTGCTGCTACCAACCTTTCCTCACATTTTTCAGCAGTGTCTCTTGGACTCAGATGCCCAGCTGGAGACACCATAAGAGAGTGCACTCCCACTCCCACATGGCAATTCAAACCAACTAGATTTAAAAACTTTTCCCACAGAGCATTTTTAATATGTAAAAAAAACAGAAATAAATCTGCATTTCAGCAGCTACAGAGGCTCGGCACAAACCAGACTTACCCAGCTCCCTGGTGAGAACAGCTTCGTGATGTGACCAGTGAGCCCTAATGGAAGGAGAGCTTTTATATAGCTACTAAACGTGCCTTGAAGGTATGAGGTACCCACGACATATCCTATTAGCTCCTGTGCGAAAGCTGTCCTGTGTGCAAGACTCGCAGTGACTAGCATCAGTGTATTCATCGCTGAGGATGAGTAGTTGAATGTCAGCTCCCCATAGTAAGAGTAATTACCTTTTGTATAATCCTCCCTGGCATGGTAAGACTGAATGGTATTTGGAGAGGCAGGCAGCAGCAGCATCCCCTGCCTAAGGGGTTTTGCAAGGCAGAATTGCACCCAATAACATACCGTCATGGCTTTCCAGAGGTCTTACAGTCCCTGGAAATGTCCTGGTGGTCCCCAGAAATGGGGCCATCCCATCACTTGGCCTCTTTCTGCCCATACATGACATTGGCTTCATGCCGTGAGGGATGCACTGACCCC